TACTCAGTCGTTCCACGACCTTCAAGAATTGCTGCTGCGTGTTGTGCGCGTGTGATGTTTTCGATTTCGTCCATTTTTGCTCCTGTGATTTGTAAAAACTACAAGTGTAGTTTGCTCAGAATACATTCTGTTAGCGCTTCGCGCAATACCGTTGTTTTCAAGGCGGCGTGCTTGAGGGCAGGGGTAGGCGTAAAAAATGCCGCGCGGCTGGCGGCATTGCTTGTTCAAGCGCAGGGTGTGGCGTTTACTTGCTGTCAGCAAATCTGGCTTTTGCTGGTTTTGCGGGTACCCCGCAAAACGTTTGTCATGCCTTCGGCATAAACAGCCAAAGGCGCACTTATGCAAACTTCGTTTACGTGCTCAGAAGCAGCTCACGCGCCTCTGAAACCATGTCCAGCGTGACAGGGCAGGCCAGTTTGTCAGGGGCGTGGGCGTCTTTGATGATGTACAGGAAATTTTGGACTGCATCCCACCCGCTATGCGCTGCCAGTTCTAAAACTGTAGAGCGCGCATCGACCTTCAACACATCGCGCCATTGATCGACAGAAAGCAGACCCAGCAAAACTGCCCGATCTTCCTTCTCGTTCGCAAGCTCATCGTCGGTTTTTTCGTCCAGATAGAAACGTGCCTTCAGACCATTCGACCAGGAGAGCTGCCGCTTGCCTTTGAAGCATTCCGCGAACTCTTTGAACAGAGCCATTGCTTGCTTGTCCTGCTTGTCTGCCAACGCAGCACGCAGCAGGTCAAAAGGCGTTTCCCCGCCTGCTTTGGCCTTCTTGATGTGGCCTTTTGTCATTTCGTCCTCAAGACCCCATTTGGTGACGTAATCCGAGGCTTTATCACCTGTATCGAGTTTGATACCGTGGGCAAAACTTGGAGTGCCTAGCCCCTGCTTTTCGCAGTACACAGACCAGCGCAGATACAGACGCACAGTCCAGTCCTTGCGGTCAGCTTCGCTGCCATCGACTTGGCAAAACTGGAGGATGTGGAAATGTGGATGCCAGCCGTTGTTTGTGCCCTTGCGCCCGTGGGTAACTTCAAGGGCGCGCACTTGGCCGATGTAGCCCATTTCCTCGAAAACTTCCTTGACCTTCCGGTCACGCAAGAAGCCTTGTAGAGCCTTTCCTTGCTGCTCCTGAAGCTCAGAGAGGACATCGCCACGCTGGTGGGGGGTGGTGAGGGTCAGGAGGTAAACAAAGCCGCCTGCGGCCTTGTGCATGGCCATTGCATCCAACAGTTCGACGCGGCGGCGTTCTGCGATCTTTGCGGCACAAACAGGGCATGTCCAGACGCTCCCGCATGTCTGCAAGCCTGCATAGCTGGCGGTTTTGTGTTCTTTGGACTTCCAGACCTGCACATCACGATCAAAGGCGCGTATGCGGAGGCATTTAGCCGTTCGGCTTGTTGGGAGAATGCTACGGGCTACCGACTGAAGGGCGAAGCGTTCAACGCGTCGCGCCATGGCGTTTTGCGGTTTGGCTCGTAATTTCGCATTAATACCAAGGGCGGCCGCTCCAGCGTCGCCGCGCACGTGCAGCGCACGCTTGCCCGTGGGCGTCGCCGCGTCGCATCCGCCTTTTGTCTTACGGGAAATTTCGGTGCAAAGCGCACCTTGAGGGCGTGATTCTGTTAATCTTTCCATGTCGGTTGTGTTTGTCTTAAACGCTGTAGAAACCGGCCATCGCCTCGGAACGGGTCCAATCGTTCGCGAGGCTTTTTCTTTCATTGCGAAGAAGCGGCCAGATACGGCTTCGATTCATTACGAAGCGCGTAGTACATGATAGACCCGTTGGACGCAAAAGCACCCACAGGCACGGCAACCCTCTTGCCAATCAGTTGCTTGTAAAGGTCAGTGATGACCTTGAGCGTCACCATCTCCAGACGCTTTTCCCCACTCTCCAAAACGTTCTCTGCAAGGATCTGCACGTGCATGGATTCGGGACGCTCGTTGCCCTCCTTGTCCTTGCGTGCAGGCTGCACAAAGAAGTTCTGCACTGTGCCGTTCAGGGTAAGCATTGCCATGCTTAAACCTCCTTGCCATGCACTTCTTTGAAGTGCTCAGACACTGAATCATTGAAGCGCTCAGCCATCAACTCATTGATGTCTTCCAAAGTTGCATCTTCCAGGTGCTTGGAAACTTCCTCCAAGCCAACCTCTAACAACTCCGCAATCATTCCGTTTCGTGTTTTCCCGCTCTTGTGTGCGAAAGCCTGAACCCTTGCTTCCAAT